CTCGGAGATTTCAATGCCCATAATGAGCTTTGGCTGGACTCAAATAAGACCGATGCAGCAGGTCGCGCAGTCGAAGCGTTCGCTCTTACTCAAGGGCTGACCCAGCTGGTGACGAGCCCTACTTTTTTCCCCCGCGTCTCGTCACACGCCAGTAGCCTGCTGGATCTCTTTCTGACCACGCATCCTGCCCCTTACAGCACTGCTGTCCTGTCCCCCCTGGGTAACTCAGATCACGGTGTTGTGGAGGTTAGGTTTCGGTTAGAAGCCGCTGTGGCAGCAGAAACTCGTACAGGCCGCAAAACTTGGCATTACGGACATTCCGACTGGGCGGAGCTCAGAGACCTCTTCTCTAGCTTTCCTTGGAGAGATGTCTGTTTCACTGACGCGGATGCGTCGACTGTCTGTTCTTCAATAACCGAAATTATCCACGTCGGAATGGAGGAATACACACAGTGAAAGTTCCTAAACCAGGGTCCAACGGCTGGTTCAACAAATCGTGTGACACTGCTCGCCAGCAGAAGATCAAGGCACACAGAACCTACTTACAAAACCCCACTGTAGAGAACAGACAAGCCGACGTCGAGTCCAGAAACAAATATAACGAAGCGGTTCGCAATGCCAAAAACCAGCATGATATAAAAGTTAGGCACAGGGTAATGTCGCAGCGCAATGGCAGTCGGTCTTTCCGGACGCTGGCCAAGCAGATTGAAAAGAACTTCTCATACAGTAGCCTTCCACCACTTACGTGTCAGGATGGAACTATTGTATTCGACCCAAAGGCCAAGGCGGAAGTGCTAGCCAAGATCTTTGCTGCCAACTCCACCATGGACGTCCCCACCAACGCCCAAGTGCCGTCAATTCAAAGGGTTCCCCACACTATGCGGGAGGTAACATTCAGGCATAAGACCGTAAGTCGAGTGCTCTTGTCGCTCGACATCAACAAAGCTTCTGGTCCGGACTTGATTCCTCCCATTGTACTGAAGAGATGTGCAGCGGAGCTTGCTCCAGTTCTTTCGCGTCTCTTCCAGATATCTTATGAATCCGGCACCTTCCCAGAAAACTGGAAATTTGCTCATGTACAGCCCATCCCCAAAAAAAGGATCTAAGACCGACCCTTACAACTACAGGCTTATAGCTCTGCTTTCTGTTATAAGTAAAGTGATGGAGAGGTGCATAAATCGCGAGCTTCTGGACTACCTCGAACGTCACAGCTTGATTAGCGACAGGCAGTACGGTTTCCGGCACCAACGATCCACAGGGGACCTCCTAGCTTACGTCACGCAACTGTGGAGTAAACTCATCCAGTCTCATGGTGAGGCTCATGTCGTTGCTCTCGACATCACGAAAGCATTCGATCAGCTGTGGCACGCTGCCCTCTTAAGCAAACTTCCATCCTACGGCCTCCCAGAAAAGCTTTGCAGATGGGTGGCTGACTTTATCTCTGGCCGACGGATTCTCCTCTTCATCCCACAACGTCAACGCGGGTGTTCCCCAGGGATCGGTCTTGGCTCCAACACTGTTTCTCTTACATATCAACGACCTCCTTTCCTGCACGATCAACCCAATCCACAGCTTCGCTGATGACAGCACTCTACATGCAGGAATTCAGAGTGACAAGCCGATCTCTGCCGCTGAGCTGGAAAAAAGAAGACTAGCGACGACTTCTTCTCTGACAAGAGACCTGGAGGCTATCACTGCTTGGGGACGCAACAATATTGTACAGTTCAATGCTTCCAAAACACAGTACTGTACTTTGACGAACAAAAAGCGTCCTAGCGCTCATACAGTTTCGATGGACGGTCGAGTTCTACCAAAGAGCCGTTCATTTCGGCTGGTCGTAGTCCAGATCACCGAGGACCTGATCTGGCACGAACACATCTCTTCAATAGCTGCAGCTGCTGGGAAAAAGCTAGGCTATTTGTTTAGGCTAAGAAGTACTTTTCTCCGCATGACCTTCTCACTCTATACAAGGCCCAGATAAGGCCTAGCCTTGAGTATTGCTCACACATTTGGGATGCTGCCGCCCCGACTACATTGTCCATGCTCGATGCTGTCCAGAGGAGGGCGGTCCGATTGATCGATGACTCTTCTCTAACAGACAGTCTCGGAACCGGCGGGTCGTCGGCGATCTAGCTCTTTTCTATCGCTACACCAACGGGCTTTGCTCCTCAGAGCTCTCTTCCATGATGCCGCCGCGCGATGTGCCTGCCAGACAGACCCGCCTGACTTCGGCGTCCCATCCTAACCGTGTCAAGCTTCGTACATCCAGAACTGGCCGATACGACCGCTCCTTTGTCCCGAGGGTGTCTAGATTGTAGAACAATCTACTGGAGGAAGCTTTTCCCAGTTCTACTAACCTTAGGCAGTTCAAAAATCGTATTAACAAAATTTCTTTGGGATCATCACAGCAGCCGCGGTGTTCCGGCATTTAGGCTTCTGCCTGCGCGGCTGTTTCGATATAAAAAAAAAAAATTTTCATTATTGTTGGTTAATAATTTACACATCTAAGATATATGTTTTCAAAAACTATCAACTATGATCCAACATATTGTTTCTGAAATTCCATCAAAGTAATATAAAAAAATATAGACTATCATACGTATACCGCTGGTTTCCTGTTTGCAAACTTACATTGTCGATGGCAATCTAAAAACTGTTTAATCGCTATAAAAGTACACATAATGTGAAAAAACATTTATTTCTCCAAATATAAAAAAAATAATAGCAAAAAAGGAGCTTTGTGGATTTGAATCTACGTCCTGCGGTGCAGAAATCGTCGTTCTCTCCCATTACGCTACGACGCCTTTTGTTTTACTGGATCTTTATACCACTATACTTGACACTGACAAATGTCAAGCGAACGTTGAAGGTATATCAAATCTATTATAAACAATTAGAATACTCTCGAAAAATATATAAGATACAATGCTGAAACTTTGAATAATGTATTAGGGACTAATGCCGAGCATCTTTCCTAATTTTAAAGACGGTCAGTTCGCTACAATTGGTTGATATTTGTCTACTGTTTTTTAGTTCTCTCGAGTTTATTTTCCAATATTTTGAACTCGCAGACGTTTTAATCCCACGAGATTTCGAAATTTCGAAAACAGACGTATATATACTAAAACTTTTAGAAAAGATGTCCAGGGAATTATATTTCTTCGTAAAGAAATTGGATTACGTGACCTACTTATTTGAAAAAGTCATGCAGTCATCAATAATGCAGCCATTGAGCACATGCTACATACTAACTAGTCTAAGAAAGTTTGAAACATAAGTGTGTCTTCATTTTGCGTGATAACTTTATAAAAGGTTCAGCGCATTTCAGTATGAGATATTTATTTTTATAAGCTTTAGGGCCCATCTGTGACCGTGTAAAAATGTCAGCTCTAAATATGTATACACAAGAGTATGAAAAAATCTTGAAGAAAAAATGTTTTCTTCCCAACAAAAGGCGATGGACACATCCGCTTTGTTTTAAGATGTGTATAGTAACGTATGTTTTTTGAATATCGAAGCGAATCTGTTCAATTACAAGCAAATACGAAATGTCTGAATTTGTTTATAAGAAAACACGTAGCCCTTCGTTTTTCGCATAAAAACAACAATTATCTTTCGGAATGGTTTGTGATTTATGTCGGCAAGGAAAACTCGTGTATTTTGCTATAAACTGCCCTTTGAACTAACCCTGTATACAGGGTGTCCGCAAAGTTGCGGTTTTCCTTTTCAGAAACAACTACCCTTGAAATAACAAAGTTAATGTGTAGTGAAACGAGGGCGACCAAGTAAAAAAAAATAAAGGAAAAAGTTCTCACTCTCCAGTTGACGAGAAGGGCTAAGTACGTCTCTGCCCGAAATCATACCGCTCCAACAGAGAATGAAATCAGCTGATGCGCTACCGAGCAGACGCAGGCAAACAAGGAAGGCAAAATGTTGCGTAATGACCAAACATGAATGTTGCGAAAGTTATTCACCCCATTACGCGTGAACGTAGATTCGTCTGTCACCAATATACACTTCAAAAAGTCCGGATTATTGTCATGTTGATGCAACAACCACTCACAAAACAGCACTCTTGCTGGAAAGTCGTCAGGTTGAAGGGCTTGTACACGTTGGACGTGAAACGGATACAGCCCCTCTTCACGCAGCGTTTGCCACATTTTAGTTTTTGATACTTGCACTTCTCTAGCCATGTCTCTAGTGCTTGTTGTTTTTTGAAACGCAATCGATTATATGGGTTCGTTTACCTCTACACGCGTGACCGTAACCGTCGGTTGAAGGTGCCGTCGGGTTGAGACCTTGTACCAATCAGTGATGTACCAGGTCGCGGCTACAGGACGGTATTCAGATATTTTTGATGTTGCAGAGCCCTTTATCTCGGTTCCCTTAAGACATTGGTGTATATGGTACTAAGAAAAATTGCTTATGTTTTCAAGATCTACACGTCGTGTAAAGGAAAACCCCAACTTTGCGGACACCCTGTATTGCTCAGTAAACTAGTAGTGATGGCCGGAAGACAAGTGTTTTGGAATAAACAATTAGAAATTCTCAAAGACTATTAGACCAATCGACTCCAATTTTATTGTAGTTACTAAGAAGTATGAAGCCCACGGATTTGGCAAATTTTAAGTAGCTGTGTGAAATTGTCGTCGGATTAGCAGCAAGTGCCAAAACCTGCATTTTGCCTCGGTTTTCGGCCATAACTGTTAGTCGAACCTTTTTACGTGTGATCTCATTCTGTAGGTCTCATAAATGCCTCATTTGAAGGGTTGTTTGGTTCCTGCCAATACTTTCGATTGAATCCCAAAAAACACATTTTCTCATTCTTTGTTGTCGAATAAAAAGTTTTCCCACAAAAATCGGTGTACCCATTTTATGCGTCCACGTTTTAAATACCTCCTTGAACAAGTTGCATCAATAAAACCAGACTTTACAATAATTTGGGGGAAATTTGCTAATATGATTAGACTACATATCAAGGAATGAAAATAAGATCTTACCGTTTGTTATCCGCGGTGAGGTGTTTAAAGGTCTATCGAGGGCAGCAAACATCTGTGGTGGGAAGTGAGGATGATGATGACCTATGAAAGGACCATGCGGATAAGGATTTCGTCCGCTCAACATCGCCCATTCTGGGGGTGGGCCTGGAAGACCGGCTAGGTGATGAGCGATTCCTGAAACAAAAGTTTGATTGGCCTTAATCAAGCGACACACATCAATGGGATAATGCATAAGGACAACTTTCAAATGTAAATTCACTTGAAGTTGCAATAGTTGCATGATTACAGTCATTCTGAAATAAAGTAGTCTCTAATAAGCTTACATAAAGGCACTCATACTCGATAGACCAAGTAACGGATTTAGTGAAGTGCAAGAGCAAACAAGATGTAAGACCTTTGTGATGCGTCCAAAAAATTCTACCATAGACACAATTTTTGAGGAACTGGCCTAAGACACATTTGTTCTAACATTACCTCAGAGGCTTTCTTACTATATACGCTTTTATTGATCTATGTCGAAATTTTATACATTGTGACTCCGGAAGGCATATAATAATTGAACTGTTGGATAACTTTTTGCCGTTGAGACTAGTCTTTTGTGAGTTGCGGTTAAAACAACATTTTCTCTCTAACATAACTGTCTGACATGAGACACATAGTCATCTTCTATTCGGCTGGAATGAAATAAATTCCAAGTGGCTCATTTCTCGAGCTTTGTAAAAGTGACTTTTTAACAGGGGAAAGCTTGCATAGCCACTCTCAGACAGAAAACCTCGACATAATACCCTGACAGCCTTTTCTGCTCAAAGTGTGAGATTCTTAAGAAGCATGTTACTAACTAACACTCCTCAGTCGTTCGCTATATACCTCATGGTAGTACTTGCAGCATTTCTTCCTGGGGGGAGCATTCCGCTAAGTTCACATACCAAAGGTTATTATTCATCTGCTCTCCGTTATACACGTACATGTATTTATACACACGTATATGTAAGTACAACCAAGCACAGAATCTACTGTGGGTTCGTTGATCTGTTGTTGTAATCTTCTAACTTGCTCAGCATCATTCGCCACACCATTGGTTGAACTTCAACTCATTTACGTACACTAAAAAATTCACACAAGTGTGCCCCTCGCCGAGTGTCAATTCTAGCCAAAGGCTGATCTACCATACTCGAGTAGGTGATCGGGAGTATCCTCCTCGACATTAAAATATACGTAGCTCGTCGTGTGCAGTGTAGTAATCTATCCGCACCGCTACCCTAACAATCCACGTTTTAGTATCTGGAATCAGCCTTCTAGTCTATACACCATGACCAGTTGCATCCCACATCTTCTGCAAAATAACAGAAAGAATCTTTCGTTCAAAGTGTCTAGCTTTGGATCCCTTTTTATAGGGTGTGCATCCGTCTTCAGCCACCAAAACAATTGTACAGTGAAGTGATCACGCACTTTTCGCTAGCTTCTTCATTAACTGTCTATATTTCTTTTACCTCAAGGCCTTGTTATAGATAGAGGCTCCGTACATCAGAATCGAGTTTGCCAACCTTGACAAAATCTTACGCTTCCCGCTACTTGGGCTTCGATCAAGTAAGATCAGCCATATCATTGATGCAACGACTTGACTTACGCCATCAGTGGTGCGCCTTTTGTATCCGGTCATTTTCAGAACCTTGTCGAACCACCTATCCAGATAGCATTTTGACATCGAATATTGTTGCTCTCAATCTCAGCAATGCGAGTTCAGCCATTCTTTAAGGTACGCAAAGCAACACATAAGTGGAGAAAACAGATAGACAGGGTTGAACTGCTTGAAAATCAGATGCAAACAATCTGTATCAGTTATCAAACATTGAATGATGTCAATATGGATAGAACAATATTCTGCATAACATCATTGAGCTTGGTTTGAGTTCGTAGAACATCCAACCATGAGAAACCTCTCAGCATTCAACTTACAACTTGCAAAAAACTTGAAATGTTCCAAGCTTTCGTTACACTATTAGGAAAACACGTGCCTCTAAATTACTCTTGGGTATAAGCGGTCAGATATCCCTGCCATCGAGAAACCGAGAGCTTCAAGAGAATGCTCAAGTGCAGCTGACTCAATTTTGCCAGTGAAAAGTTAATCCTTAAGGGTACTGTGTCGATTTTGAGGCCTCTCATAAGCCGTTCTAATTTTACACCCCGTCACACGCCAGCCCTCCAGGTCGCATACACCCATACCATAGCCGTAACAAATAGGCTTGGTTCTAATCAGTAAGATCTCGACATCTACTCTGCTGCCACTATGGTTCCAAACAGTTTTTCGTCTCTCGTTAATTCCCCCATAAAGTCATTCAGCTACTAAGGGGCAACGACATCCTTTTGTTGATCGAGGAGTTTGGTGTTTGGTGATCGAAACGGTTCTTTGAGCTTTAATTCTATGTAACTTAATATCTAAGAGTGAACGCAAACCTTGAATTACTACCTAAGATGCATAAGTTGCATATACGCAATCCAGCACCAGAACGGTGCAATTTTCAATATCTTATTTGCAAAATTGTCTCGATTATAAAGTAGTGCAGGTTACTTTTCGACATGACATGTTATACGAATGTTAAAATGTTGCGCAGGTCGATCTATCAGATAAGTGTCCTGTCATATCAGTGTAATTTCCACGTGAAGTCACGTACCTCGGATGCTCGAATGACTGCATTACTCTCACATAATACTACAGCACGGGAGCAATCTAGTAGTCCAAACTCTGAATCTGGTGTTTAAGTATACTAGCTGTTACCTAAAAGCGTTAAAATAATTCTCGCGAACCCAAATTTTTCGGTTATGTACCTTACATCTATCAAGTCTGGACATCACCTTTATGCAAACGAAAACCGCGCCAACGTATCCGGATTGGCCGAGGGTTGAGGGCACTGTAAACGCCTGCATCGCCATCAACTGTTACTCCAAATGGCTTGATAATGATGTCACCCCATTGTTCAAATGCTATATTTCTACAAAACTATCCACAACGGCTCAATAATGGGCAGTGATACATTCAATGCTCTCAGCGAATTGACTGTAAATTCATGAATAGTTTTTGGTTATGGTTGGAAAAAATTTGGGATGATTGAAGGATTGTGAACTTATCTCAACGCGGATGTTATATTTCGAGCCAGTCAGAATCCGTGTTCCATATCCGTTTTTATAGCTACCGCCCTAACAGTGCATTCAGCGTCCATATAAAGTCAAGAAATTCGTCTTAATATTCGCAGTTTAACATTACCGTCGCACTATTTTGATATTCAGTAGACCTGCTAAGGGGCTCGTAACTTGGGGATGATAAATACAAAAACGATCCAAGGATATAGTGGGGCGCTTCTTGATTCGCAAGCGAGTATCGAATAGCATTTTTAATGCAGTAACGATTTTCAGCGGATTTGATTCGATTTCACTAAAAGAATTATATGAGATATAGTCATTTCCTAGATTTTTAACATATATAGGCTGAACATGGTTCTTTCGTGCGTCTGACCAAAAAGGCAGCAAACCATAGGGTGAATAGGCAAAAACTTACATTTTAGAATTGTTACATCGATTGCATAATGGCTATTTGTTTTACTCATAAGTGGAATCATCATAGACCGAAGAAAAGTATCTGAAAATACTCGATTTTGTTGTACAAAGGTCTTCTGCACATCGTTTATAGTTCTTTTTCGAGTTTTCATCCGGTTTAAATGAATAATGTTATTTTCCTGAGTTCTGAAATTTTTTTTCAACTCGCTTACATAGAAGTTCAACACTTGCGTTGCAGTTAATCTCCGTGACTTCCCCACTGGTCATTGTAGGAGCCTCATTGCACGCCCCTGTTTCCATCGGTTTCATGGCGAACTCAATATAGATGCACCGTAAAAGGTTTATTCTATCGATTAAAATGGTAAATAGAGTACAAGGAAACCTTTGGGTACCCTAACGAGAAATTAACCCGAGCCATTCACACATACATGCCACGCTATCCCGAATCGAGCTCAAAATCGATAAGGTTAGTGGTGGTAGTCAGGGAAGTGAAAAGGCGAGAAGACGTTTGTTCAGAAAACACATAGAAAGGAAAACTACATGATTGGGAAAGATATTGAGTAGATTAACTCACTGCAAGTGAACATTTTCTATATTTCAAAATAGTAACGCGTAATGGAGCAATTTGCTACACCTCACCGGGCTGTCAGGTGTTAGAGTTTTGGCAAATGCAGCTATCCTTAAATTTTGTAACCTGGGAAGTTTCACAGGGCTCTGTACTGCGCACATTACTTTTTCTGCTGTTTGTGATTGATTTACCAATGATTGATAGCAGTGGTAACCTCATAATGGATGGGGATGGCAACACATATTTATGTAACAACAAATCGCTATGCCGTAGTGTCATGATCCAGGCTCAAAGCATGCTACACCTATCTGCATTGTGGTTCAGGACTAATCATCTGACAGTTAATAGAAGCAAAACCGTATTTTTGAGTTTCGCGCCATGTAATGGGATCAGTATACAGTAGGTAGTTGAAGTAAGGCTTCTAGGAATACATATCGATAGCGGCCTTATATGGAAAATCATATAAATGGACTTATTAAAAAGCTATGCGGCAACTGCTTCACACTGGATAAATATATATAATAATATATATATATATATAAATAAAGTATGGTATTATGTTTTTTTTTCATAAAAAAGCTGTGACAGTAATTTCAAGAGCCCTATTACTGAATACATGCAGACATCTCTTCAAAAAACTTGACATTCATTCGGTTGCATTACATCCTGGACACTTCACTTGTCAAAGCAAACCTTGAAAATTGCACATCGTTCCACTAAGACACTGTGCTCTACACTCAAGAAGTTGTAGGGGAGATGCGTATAGTACTCGTAGAGGTAAAATCTGAGATACTTTTTTTGAAAAGGAAAAATGAAGTAATTGTTCTTTTAAACGAGTGTATATTTTTAAATAAACTTGCGACTTGATGCTCCTAGCATATTCTGAAATACAAAAATAATATTGAATGTATTTTTTTACTGACAAAAAGTGTGTTTTAAAAAAAGTAAATATTTTTGTGACTTTACAGCTGGTTCACTAATCTGAGATACTTACTATTCAAAAAATCCCTTTCCTTTGCAGATAGTGCAAATGAAAATTTTATTGGTAATCTCT